CAAATGTGTTTATGTTATATCTATTCTATCCTATTCTGTTTGTATTTAGTCTGTCTTCCACAAACTGATCCATTGCTTTCATTCCTATGTCTCTGACATTTATAAGCCGAGTAGAAATTGCTGGTGGTACCACAATGCATGCCAGGTTCTCTTCTATGTCAAAGGGTCTGCCATGTAGTTAGTGACAGTGCTAATTATCTTATTGACATCTCCTTCATCGCGCTGTATGCGGCCTGGAGTAGCTTCTTTGTGCTTTGCATGTGTGTCTCCCACCATATCACACATCACTTTCATGATATTGTAACAGATGTGCGTTCATGAGCAGTGATAAACCATCTAGCTTGCTTGTTCAGCTCTTATGAATCGCAATAGGATATTAACCATTTTGATGTAATCATTCCAGAAAGTGAATTTTGTGATGATGCACTTCTTGTAATGCAGAATCTGTTAAGTGCATCATGCACAATATTGATGGCGTCACTAAACTGAGTGAGCACTACTTCCAGACTAGGTATGTTATCATTCAAAACAGCAGACTGACACTCTTGAAGTTTTTCGTTGATGAAGTCAACATCACAATCTATCTCATTGCCTTGTATCCACTTACAAAATGCCTGCCACCTCAGTCTGAACAGGGCCTCCATTACCAGTTTGTGAGCTCTTACTCCATGATTGTAAGTTTTGCCTTTCAGTAGATTACTTGTACTGCTGCCATATGCCTGTGATTCTCAATACTGTTTTGTTAAACTCTTCAGTACACCTCCACTGAATTTCTTTGGCTTTACAGTATATAGCCTCTTGAATGTCAGGACACTGTAATCTTGCCCAAGTATCCTAGTCATCTTGCACACATTTTTCATCACTGTATACACAGTGCTCAGTAGGTGATGCTGGAAGCATTGGGCAGTACCCAATTGATGTTACTTTTGGTACTGTAGAGGAAATCATTGCATTGTAAGTTGTCCACCCAGGGATATGCTGGGTAGTAAGCCTTTCAAATTCAACTTCAAATAGCTTGATAGGACAATACCTAACAATAAGCCATTGTAAATCAATG